TAAGCATTACACGTGCTGCTTATGCTTAGGTCACAATTCAAGAAAGGGGCCCGCTCGGCCTGCCTTAGATTATGACGTCACATGTGCTGATAAGTGCATAAGGTGGTAAGGAAAATGGGGTTATATGGGACATATGTAAACTCCTTGTTCAGACTACGTCGCACAGTTCAACACGCGTGTGTTACACCGTGTACCTGTGTGTGTTACACCGTATACTTGTGTGTCAGAATGCCGATGGGCAATGGAAAACAGCCGAGACGATTGCCCGGCATACATATGCTTCAGAACAGTGATATTGTGTTGCATGTGGCAATGATGACAGGCAGTGCAGCGCTTATATATATATATACCTGCTCACAAACACGACGGGATCCCACCAGGGACTCGCCAGGATCCCCCCTGGACCCCCGCCAGGGACCTGACAGTTGCCCGGCCGAAGTGTAAGAGCCGGTCGGCACCCTACCGCAAGCCGCACGGGTCAAGACGGGAGACTGTCCCGGGGCACCGGACGGGTCCCTGACAGAAACCGGCCGCCAATGGGACCAAAAGTTTATGAATATGAATTAGAAGCCGCCGGCCGGAGCACAACCAGGCCCCGACAGGGAGCCGTAAAGGAACATTTAATTGTGACCCTGACAGTCGGCGCACGCACGGCTTCATGACGCCGGCCGGCGTCTACTCCGAGGACATGCCGAACGGGCGCCGTTTCAAATGTGACCTAAGCATTACGTACGATACGTATTGGTACGTACAGGGCACGCGCGTCGCCCGTACTGGCTCGTACGGGGGTGAATCCGCAGCCCGCGCGCAGAGAAAGTTTTGAATGCACTTAAAGTGCTACGGCTAAATCCGTTGTATTCCGACCTGCATACATCGCACCTGCATGCACGTATAACGTGAGAGTGAGTAAGGAAACCGTACGTACGCCGCACGTGTAGGTACGGTCTGTTCGCGGTAACGTGGCAATCGTAAAAGATATCGTACGCTGTAAGCACGTACAACTTAATTTCCACTTCCAACGAACATTACACGCAACCGCTCACGGCCAGACGTGGCGTGCAGACCACGTACTTACACCTTACGCATCAGTGCGAGTGACGTACTCCCTCGGCCGATGACCCTACGTTTTCAGAAAATAACGTAGCAGACGTGGCCTCCCAAAAAACGTACGGACAAAAGGCACGTAAGCACTTTAGATCTAATACTTTACTGTCATTTTAGGTGAGGAATGTAGCAAGACAGGGTGACGTAACTGATATCGAAATTGTGTGCCTGGCGCCGAAAGACCCAGCTAACCAGGCAGTGTCCTACGCTGGTGAGTGGTGTAACTTGTTTCCCAAACAGGTCGTCATTGGTGGATCTAGAGACGAAAATGGATATCATAACAAAGCAATTCTCATATAATCATCGCATTCTATCGGTTCAGCATATTTCAGCACTTTGGAAAAACGCAATAAATGCCCGTGAAGTAATTATTAGAATCATTCTTGAAATTTTTATTTTCAAGGCAATCGCGGTGTCTACAGAGAGGTCTGGGAGTACAGTGAACCAGCGTCCATGCCTGCCTTGACTGACCTGCCGGTCGGTGACCCCACAGAGGATCCCGCCTGGACAGACGGATTCTTCTGGACCAACCGTTCCGAGGTGAGGAGTCATGTCTCATTGTCACATTGATAACGCACATTGAGCGATAACGTAATTATATTGACAATTCAATTCTGCACTAGATGGTTATACATGCAGACAGTTACCTGACTTACCTAGCTAGGAGTGCCCTGAAATGGATATTAAACAATGGATATAAAGTTGGGATACCATTGATAGTGGAAACAACAAGAACGGACACTATCTTCCACATACTACCAGGCTGAGCATATTAGATATGTTCCTATTCAGTTCTCATTTCTAGAACCCTTTGTGTTCTCTAATAAGATACTAGTGAGTATGTTGGTTCAGTATTGTTGCAGCACTACTGAACAACTGACGCGTTTGTGCTGACGTATTCTTTTCTGCAGAGCTATTTCTCCCGCATGAGGGGATTTTTCATTCCGCCCAACGACAACGACTATCAGTTTGTGTTACAAGACTGTAAAAAGCCCTCCGATGACTTCATCTTGTACTTCAGTCCAAATGGAGCCGAAGATGAGACGGTGGGTCTGTCAGCCTTGACTAATCTAAAAAGATAACATCATCTTGAATATTACTTTGTGACAGTTGCCGGCATTTCTTCAAAATCTTCAAAACAGAGTCTGTATACTATTCACCGCTCATTTAACGTCATGTGTTAGCACTGCATAAATTCACTTACGAATTACCCACACCTCAACAGGTTCGCTATTACTCTTTATCAATGCACTCGATCTTTAGTAGTTGTGACGTGTACTTTGTGTGTAGATCACCCCACACTGCACTGTTTAATTCAATCTATACAGCTGGATATTTTCGAATGTCCGGATTCCGGGCGACGCTGGTCAGAGAGGTACACGCTGTCCGGGAGCAAGAGGTAATACTTGTTGACATCATACTATCACTGCTATACACTAGACGGTGCCTTCTCCAATACCTATTTGTCAGCAGGCGAAGTTGGGAAGGAACGGAAGGAAAGTAACAACACACACCTACAGGAGATGTTGGCTGGCATAGTAGTCTTGTTGATAACAGTCGTCTTGTTGATGTGTTAGGACGCGGTTATCAACCAAATTTAAATGTTTAAAATTTTTTTTATTGAAACATATAATGACAAGACGCGGTGGCGACACACTCAAGTTACACTTATATTCATGTCTCCACCAGACTATACATAATACAGACGACAAGCAAAGCACAGGATACAATAGTAAATCAATAAACAAGTGAAACTAATACATAAAAGTGCTGACAGGACTGATCAATAAACTATGTTACAAAAAACGATTCGATTCCAACAAAAATACCTGGACATGCTGTAATATTTGAATATTGTATGTTGTTGAGAGAAAGGAAGAGCCATTTAAAAGTAAATGTACCAGAAAGGCAGAATATCATCAGCAAGATTATCCAAGTCAGTAATAAAGCCAATCGGTGTTTTCAAGTTGCTAAAAAGGGCCCGGGTGTTTCGTTGTTGAGTGTAGTTGGGGCAGTGTAACAAAAAGTGACAAATGTTTTCACATGGGTGACCACAGGAACAAGCTGGACTTGAAACTAAATAACGAGAGTATAAGCTTTGGTTTAGACTGTGTGTACCGAGCCGAAAACGTGTAAGTAAAGCGCAGGAGTAACGGAGACCTGACCTAAGGTAAGTAATGGGGGTGGGACATTTTAAATAATTTTTTTCTAAACAAGGGGGAAACTCAACAATTTAAATGTAATGGCATACTGAGACAATGGAGGGCCCCAACATTAGAGGAGCGTTTATATATCGTCATTGGTTTTCTTTTAACTTGAGAATATCATAACGGGCATGCGTTGAACCTATGTTGACCCCCGTCCGCAGGTACTACATAGAAGTTCGCTACAGGCACGAGTGGACCAACCACACTCAGCAGGACAGGGGCGTGGCCATGAAGATGTTCAACACGGACTATGCAGGAGGGCAGAACTACCACGCACAGAGCGAGAAACAAGAAATCAAAATCACGTCAACCATTATTCGCGAAAAACAGGTCGGTTTCAAAAGAAAACCATCAGACTCTCAATCCATTGTTTTTTTTTTCGCTTCGTTAACGTTTGTATTCACAACTATGATGAATTGGAGTTAGGGCGGACAGGATGAGCCTGTTTTCATAAAACCCTTGCATGCCTTTTTATGTACCTTTGAACTCTATTAAAGTAGAGAATACACTATGACACGACCATGTATGTCTCTCATATAGCGAATCAGCCTTGGCAGTGATGTTCAAGACTTTACCCTTCAATATGGCGGAGTTCAGTCAGAACCAATCCAAGCTGGCTCCTCTCCAAGACAGGTGGGATTCTCTCTATACTTACTGGATAAACCTATCATTGATACCCCAATTCCACTTAGACGGCGCTCTTACGGCGCTCTCTCCGCGACCTGAAATTGGCCAGAGCGCGGTGAGAGCGTGATGAGAGCGCGATGAGAGCGCGATCTGAGCGCGATGAGAGCGCGATGAGAGCCGTTCCACTTAGACGGCGCTCTCACGGCGATCTCTCCGCGCTCACACAATTTCAGGTCGCGCAGACCGGGCAGTCATAAATATGGGGGCCTTACACCCTTGATTTCGTAGCTATGACACGACTAGAATATGATGCAGGATGTACAAGAATAGCTGTGAAAACAATAAAACTAACAAAACGTACAAAATTTCATTCTCTATTTCCGTAATTCGTTCAGTGAGCTATGAATTCGTTGGTCGTCTATAAACGTTGCTGACATTTGAGTTTTTGGCCGCGCAGAGAGCGTAGTGAGGTCGCCGTAGAGATTCCACTAGAGCACGTTTTTCGTGACGTTCGGCGCTCTCACGACGCTCTGGCAAATTTCAGAGCGCAGTGAGGGTGCCGTGAGAGCACCACTACGTGGACTGGGGACTTAATAGTGGATATGCTTCAGGATACGTCCATGAAGTTTGTCGACCACATTATTATCTTTAAGGCCGCCAGTCCACTTAAAGCTAAGGTCCCAATTGGGAAAAGGGGCCCTGGCGGGTAGTTCCCGGGCTGTTTTTTACCACTTTCGGGCGGGACCCCGACGTGGCCCCGCGGGGCACTCTGCGGCTACCGGGCTATTTTTTGGCCCGTCGGGGCCCCGATAAGAATTTAATTCTGAGTTAAATTCTACCCGGGCCCCGCTGACAAAAAGACGCCGTGACCTCATCGTGAGAACACCGAGAGGTACCCCTCCGGTTGCCGGCATTCCACCGGGACACATTTCTTACTTCACAGACCAGATGAACAGAATAAAGGTGTGTACTTCGTAAACCCGGGTAAAATGTGTGACCTCACAGATCAAATGATCACAACAAATACGTGAATTCTGCATTACGTATAGGTCAATACAAGACATCGTCAGAGAATCTGCTGGGTACCTGCCGGGTGCCTGCCGGATACCGACCAAAGAGGGTGACAAAATTTCTAACAAAATGCTACTGAAGGAAACTTTTAATTGTGACCACGACAGCCGAGGCCCGCTCGACTCCTGAACCCGGCCGGGGCCATCCGGGGCTACATCCCCGACGGGCACCGGCGTAATTGGGACCTTAGCTTTAGTGTCGCTCTCACGGCGGTCTCTCTGCGACCTGAAACTGGCCAGAGCGCGGTGAGAGCGCCGAACTCCACGAAAAACGTACTAAGTGGAATCTATAGTGCGACCAAAAACTCAAATGTCAGCAACGTTTTTGGGCGATCAACGAATTCATACCTCACTCAATGAGAACGAAATTTTGTACGTTTTCTCTTTCAAAGTCATTCTTGTACATCCATATTTAGATTATTAAATCAAGGGTGTAAGGCCCCTATTTCACTAGGACGCTCCCTCTGCGCTCTCTGACATTTGAGTTTTTTTGGTCGCACAGAGAGGTCGCCGTAGAGATTCGACTTGAGCACGTTTTGCGTGAAGTTCGGTGCTCTGGCCAATTTCAGAGCCCAGTGAGAGCGCCGTGAGAGCTCCACTAAGGGAAATGGGGGCCTTAGCCAACGTTTCGGTGACCGTCTGTCATCTTCATCAGGGCAATTTGACGGTTTCAATATGCACTGAAGTTTTGCATAATCCTTAGGGCACAATTCGCCATGCGGGGTGTATCTGAGATACAAATTACTGTTCATGTTTACTGTTTTAGGTGAGGAGAACTGTTGAACAGATGTTCCAGACCTTGTGTCCTGGCGAAGTGGCCAATCCCAACCAGGCTATCAGACAGTTCGCTGAGGACTACGAGGGCGACCCAAGGCGATCAGAGACAGGCAGTAGGGTAGGTCGTAGATAGGATCAGAATCGACAAGAACAATACATCAACAATATCTACCATACATCACAAGAACATAACTTCCATAACTTACAACTCAGGTGATATTAGGTAATGAGATAACAAGCTAACATTACTTAATGCTGTTGCTAGCCCGATTTTGCATGATATCGTCCCCACACCTAGAAACATAAAGACACGGTTATTTTGTTTGTTCAATCTCAATGAAAATGCAAACCAGGCAATTTCGCATTATTTATAGCTTTCAGTCTTCCCCATGGATGATCTAGACTGTAACCGATTTTTACGACAAACGCGGTGAAGAAATCGCCTTGGCATTCCTCTGCAGGTGGAAGCTGATGAGACTGAACCTTTCTGTGGCCGGAAGTCTCTCAAGAATCCGTCACATCTCTATAAAAGCAACCCAGACCACAACCTCTACGGTATCGATCCAAGCATGGACAAAGTGGTATGATGCCTTTGTTATTGAATATTGTCATTATTATTTTGAATTATATTGAACAATGGCTTAGAAAACAAATCTATGTAAGTAAATTGGGAGATGGGGTGCTGGAGGTAATATGTGTCTCAGCTCTAGGTGACTCTAGGTGACCGTTATCTCACAACTGGAGGACATGCCACCGATCTTGTGCCCTTGGAAAAGGCACTTTACACGACTTTCCTCACTTCGCTCAGGTGAAAATGAGTTGTCCTCTCATGTATTTGTCCCCTGTGTTGGTGGCGGAATTAATATAAGTTGATAAAACTTGAGTGTGCCGTCACTGCGTCACGTCTGGAGATTACATGTTGGAATAAAAAAAGAAAACTGAAGGATTTCATTTTTCATCCATGATTTCTTTTTGCGCCGAAGGGAGCATATGGTGCTCTTTGTTGTCTCCATTGCCGTGGTGAAGGCGTTAGTCAGGACCTCTAAATCTTCCTCTACCGCTGAGAAGAGTGCGAATTTCCCGTCTATTTTAGCTTGGAATATTTTACATATAGCTGGGCCTTTCAGTTTCTCCAAATCAAATTCTAATCTACAGTTTTTTATAGTTATTTTATGTCTAATCAGGAAGTTCATAATGACAAGATCATGGCCACTTCCTACACCTGCACCAGGAAACGGTGATGTACAAGAATGTAGTCAAGCTGGTATTAACTGTCGTTTAGCGCGTACCATGACGGCTTGTGTATGCTAATACTAAATTGTTTTCACTGGCAATCTCAAGTAACCGTCTACCTCTTTCGTTAGTTGTTTAATTGCAGGATGGGCTTCAGTGCTCACTCCAGTCCTTTTGTGCGTCTACTTCTACCTTTGCATTCCAGTCACCTAGCACAGTCAGGATGTTTTTCTTGTTAAACTTCTTGATAGTGTCCTGGAGTTGTGAGTAGAACTCCTCTATATGTTCCTCCTCATAGTCAGAGGTAGGTGCATAAACCTGGATCACCGTGACTAGTATGTTGAACGGCTATGCCCTCAGCCTAATGGGCGAGTCGGCTGGATATTGTGTGGCATCCCACCACTGACATTTTGATGGAGCTGTTCGCAAGAAATCCCAGTACCCCGAACCCCGAACCCCCTAACATCAAACACCACCTTCTAAAAGAGCAATGGCCAGGTAAATGGTAGTACTGAACAGGAATCATGTGTAGAATAAGGACTTTTATTGTTGTAATCTGCCAGAATTTAAATAACATGCCTTATGTTCCGCAGGTGTGCTTTGCCTACAAGGGTAACATGGCTTCAAGAATCGGCTTCCGTTTCCGGTACGACATGGACGGGGAGCAGGAAGAGGAGACTACTTGGTTTGGACCTGAAAATGACACTAGTCTGGACTTCGCTGCCGACAGAGAGTATGTCACCCTCCTTCATTTTTCTTCTTTTGTCATCCTCATCTGTGTAGATGCGTGATGTAGTGGCTAATAGTAGAATGCAGCTTCGCCACGGCTCGCGTATTTATCTGGGTCATCCTTCCCTTCTCGATGAGTGTGCTGGGAGTCTTTCGTGTCATACAGCAGCCGCTTTACTTCCGAAAGGAAGGAAGAGATGAATAAATTGTACGTTTTAATCTCTGTGCTAAAATCAAAGGCATAGCAGGAGAGGATGGTACATGTTAGGCCATGATGATTTGATTATATGGATGACATCCGCGCGCGCATGAATTTTCGTCTGTTTCCAAAAAACTGTTTTTCGACCTTACTGTAAATAGAACCAAATGAGCGAATATATATCGTATGTTGCAAACAAAGTATTTGAAAACGATACTAATGTCATAGAATGCCGAAATCAATTCAGGAAAAGAAGAAAATGTGAAGAAACGAAAATGAAGAGTCTATTATCATTCGCCATACCATACTCCGTGTGTTTAGTCATTTGTTCAACTTTTATTTTTGCCAAACCTTATTCGCACGCTCGCATCAGTTTTGGGGTTCCCAGAGGCGTTAGATCGAAAAAGGGGTTCAACATGGCGTTAGATCGAAAAAGAGTTTTTAATCTTACCCGCAATCAATAAAAAAGTTTATTGTTCAATTGAGTGTATAGGTCAATGTTGAAGATTTCTCCTTCTTCTCCGTTACTGCCCAGCCCTACAGTGTAGGATTATTAGCAGCCGTTACGCATTGTTAATAACATTTGTGACCCGGTACATAAAAAACAAAGGGAAAAACAAGGATAACTGAGAAGGGAACATAAGACAACTGATTTTGTGTGTGCATTAGTGCATTAGTAATATTTACATATATACAAGACATGATGGGGTGGCTCAATGCAGCAGGGTCCTCGCCAGTTCAGATTTGAACTGGGCGAGAGACCCCGCCTCCGCCGCACCAGGCTCAAGTTCGTTCCATGCATTCCCTGATGGTGCGGGGAAAGAACGAGAGCCTGTAGAAGTTGTTTCTGCTCGCGATGGCCTGCAATGTTTGAGTGTGATTGATGCGGCGGGAGCATCGAGCCACCGGGACAATCCTAGTTGAGTGTGGGACGGAGATAGCATTATGTATAATGTAGATTTAAGGGATATCAATTAACAAAAATCACTTTCAGATGGAAATACTCCTGCGTCAACCTCCAGGCCTTATTTTCCACCCTACGATTGCCAGCATCCAACCTCAGAATCCAGGACATCCAGGTGGAACCGGCAGAAGAGTCGGATGACTTCTTCATCGACAACTTTTTCATAGGCAAAGTGGAGCCCATGCGACCAGAGGGTCAGTAGTGTTTTATTACTTACATCTCATTCAGTAACAAATACCTCGGATTTTCGCCTGCAAATAGCTACTCTACAAGTTTGAATTTAGGAATGAAAAAGTTGTATATTTACCTGTTTATTTGACTTATTACAGAACTTATTAAACACCTTTAGTGTTGTATTGTAAAAAGTATAATTGTATTGTCACAATATGTTTTATACAATGTACGGGACATGTAATTCAGCCTTCGGGCTGTGAAGTGTTTCAAATAAAACCCGCCTTTGATTAGATATTGTCTTGCTACTTAGTGACACAAACAATATTTACCTCCTCTTAGACGTAGCAAATAGTCGTCGCCTGGCAGCTCAGCTCGGCGGCAACATCGTCAGGGAAGTGGAGGTGGACAGATGTGATGGTGGATATGACGTCACATTCATTCCCTACAACTGTGGGCACAGCTTCCCTCCCGTGGACGTACAGGTGAGACACAGACACCCAGTAATAGTACGTTTTCATTCGTCCCGCGCTTTTTTTGGCATTGGCTGGATACATCTGTATCTGTATCTGTAGCCGGTATAACCGCCCTTAGGCGTAACACACCAGCTTCGCAGGCACGCCGCGCGGCGGCAGCTAGCTATATCACACCGAACGACTTGTTACACTCAATCTTTGCACATTTGATTGCAAGAGTTGTTTAAAGCTTTCTAGTGATGATGCCCCAACTGTGCTTGGTGGCAACGAGTTCCAGTCTACGATAGTTCTGGGGAAATACGAGTTTTTGAATACCTCAATTCTTGGTTGATAACTCTGATATTTGAAGGCATGACTGTTTCTTGTTCTTTTCTGGGATGTTTCTTGTTCTTTTCTGGGCTGGTATCAGATACTTAGTGGTTGGTACATCCACCAGTTTATTAGTCATTTTGTACATAATGCACAGTCTGGACATTCTACGTCTGTCTTCCAGCGACCCCCACTGTAGGTTTCTCTTCATTTCCGTTACACTACCACCCCTTTGATAGATAACTTTATTGCGCAACAATTGTACAGTGTACAAAGTATGGCATCTACTAACTTAAGTAAGTACATGTCAACTACATTTTTATAAAGCTAATCTAATACAAAAGTGGGTGGCTAGTATGAGATAGGTATCAACTTATACAATCGTTGAAGGAGTTTCTAATATCCATACAGTCTTTAATATATATCCCTATGTATAGCATGTAGGGGTTGTCACAAGTCAATATGTATTTAAATTTTCTTTCCAAGTTCATCGTGGTGAATGCTGGGAAAGAATCTGATAGTCTAGTGTATAGTGCATTGCGTACATTAATATATTTAGGACACACAATCAAAAAATGATATTCGTCCTCAATAAGCTCTGGACAAAATGGACAGACCCTCTGGTCATTGGGAATTTTATGGAATCTTCCGGTTTCTATACTAAGTTTGTGACAGCCAATTCTGAGTTTTGTGATTGCGCTACGTACGTCAAGTCTTTTTATGTTTGAAAGGTAGTTTTCTTGTTTATAGTGTTTATTTAGAGTAGAAAGAAAGGAAAGTTTGGAATTGTTTTGAATATCGCAATGCCAATTTTGTATGTAAATATCTTGTCGTTGTCGTAGTTGTTCGTGCAGAATCTTGCAGCTTGGTTCTGTACCCTTTCCAGTTTATCTTTGTCTTTCTTTGTATACATGTACATCTGTATACATGTTCAAAGAACATCTTGTTACTACTGGAGTCATAGTTTATCAAGAGAAGCTGTTAAGTTATGAGAACCGTTGTTGATGATTTTGTGATTTGAAGATGATATGATTGCAGCAAATTACACGTTATTAATGATATTCCTGCTTAATGTTTTAAAGGTGACGTGCACAGGGAACTGTGATGTTAACACTGAGCAGCTGCAAGCGGCAAGTCTTCCTGTGCAGGGCGACTTTTATATTACATTCGATGGCAGAGTTGCTGCAGGTAGAGTCCGTATGAACTATCAAATTTGTTAGTACATACGTATGACTATCCATTTTCTTTATGTGTGGATGTCAATGTGATGACTATAAGTGAGTTTAGAAGTATGATAAAGATAAATGCTTACCATATTTTCATAAAAGATGTTAATGATAATGCTTAAATATATATACATATATATATATATAATATATATATATATATATATATATATATATATATATACATATATCTAAACATATTCAAATATATAAATGCAGTTTTTGTGCGCATTTTCAAAAGTTGTTTTCTCATACGCATTCAATTTGAGAGTATCTTTATAATGAAGTTGCCATTGAATGTCACATGAGGTACAGGTGAAGCTACGTTATAGTCTGATGCTGATTTCTATCGATCTTTAGAACTGATATGTTCATCGTTTTCACAAAACATTAGTACGAGCAAATGCCACAGAGGATGACCTGGCCGACATCCTGAAGCTGGAGCTTGGCATTGACGCTCAGGTTGACCGTGAAGGAGATTGTTCTGGCTACGAGTGGAAGATCGAATGGCTGCTCGATGGAGGCGATAAAGTTGATCTCGAGGTGAGATCACACAGTTTCAATAATGACTTTCATCGGTAACATCATGTTTCAATGGCGTGGTATATTTTTCATCGCTTCTACTTTTTTGTTGTTTGATATTACAGGTAGATGGAACAGACTTGACAGGAAACGATGTTAAGATTGAGCAGAGTACCACCAACCATGGCGGTCTGTGGTTTGACCCCATCCCGGGAGATATGCTGCGTACACGGCATGGTACACCACAGGTAATGTTTGCAAGTATCCGTTGACTGCATTTTTTTGCATAAAAGACGATTAATATATTTTTTTTTTACATTCCAACATGTCATCAGAAGACGTGGTGGGAACACACTCAAGTTTTTCAACTTATATTAATGCCGCCACCAACACAGGGGACAATACAATACTCATTTTTCACCTGAGAAAAGTGAGGAAAGTCCTGCAAAGTGCCTTTCCCAAGATCGAACCCGGGACCTCTTGGTTCCGAGGCGAGCACTCTGCCGTTACGCCACGCGACCCCAGGATGAATTTTTCTGAAGTCAAATTTCAATGTTTTCCGTGTGAAATCCCTACACTTTGGCAATGTCTCATTTAAACATCTGATAATTATGCAGTAACATGTGGCGTCGTGTGGTGTAGTGGTACATCACTGGACTATGAAACGGGGAGACCCGGGTTCGATTCCGGGTCGTACCCGAACAAGTCCGACCATGCGCCCCGACGTTGTACCCTTGGGAAAGGTACTTTACACGACTTTCCTCACTTCACTCAGGTGAAAATGATTACCTAGCTTCATTTAGGGGCGTCTTATCGGATGGGACGTTAAAATGGAGGTCCCGTGTTTGAGGAGAGACACACCTCAAGCACGTTAAAGAACCCACGTGAGCGGAAGTGGAACAAACCATTATGGTCTAAAAAGGGGTAGGGAATTTTCCCGACCAGCCTCGTAACCCTTGCTTCTACTATTGGGTCAGTTAGTCCTCACTACTTGTGAGAAATTGGTCTGGTCTCAATCCTGATGTTTCTGACTCAGGGAGAAGAGTTGCTGTTACAGTTCTATACCTCTAGCTCTATGCCTAGAAGTGGCCAAAAATAATTAGGCTTGCATTGAGTGACACCGTAAAAAAGATATGCATAGTGATATTTAACATTTACACACGTATAAAATTCCCATTATTCATCATTAAGAAATTATAGAATTTTTTATCAATTATGCAAATTAGATCATTATTTACATAACTGGTATCTGTTGATGTTCCACCTGCCATAGATTACAATAATTGTAAAAGTCCTATTATCTAAACAATGTAATTATAGAATTCCCTCCTTAATTATACAATTTGAGTCTTCATTTGCATAATTTGCATTTAATTATGTACATATCTCTAACCTACCTACATACCAAAAACGCCGAAAATACGTTGTTCCTTTCTGGACTTATACACTTTAAAAAGTTTCGCCAGAACCCCTGCAGTTTCAGAACAAGCCGCTAAGGGGACAAAATCCACACCATTTATTCCTCACAGGAAAGCTATCTGTCACCAAAACGTCATAGCATGTTCATGAGACAGAGTTGGTTCGAACCAAGAATGTAATACACAGGTCAGACGTCTAACCGTTTCCAAAAATCATATCCAGTTGCTTGAGTAACTGTTTTTTGGCGTATCTTATAACCTGGATGTCTATCCTTCACCGACGCACTTCACGTGCTGTTTGCGTCTCATATCAAATACATTCTGTTTTCAGGTGGAGGTTTCTATCAACAACATCCCATCCCGATGTGAGGGAGACTGCAGCTTTTCCTGGGCGACACACAACACTCCCACTGTAACGAGTGTCAGCCCCAACCAAGGTACCGCAGCTGTTTGCATATAAAAATGTACGGTTCCAGCGGTGGCAAATGTGCAGATATTGGCACACTGGCACCACCAAATCGGGCTGTGCCCTCACCAGTGTTTGCACAGAATCACTGATTAGCCGAAAGGCCCGGTGGGCGTCACTCCGAGCCGAACGCGCTCATGAGCATTATGCCACACGATGCGACTGTTTCTATTCTTGTATGATTAATCAGCAATTACACTTGAGTGTGCGCAGTGTGAACAGCGTTCTCATTCACGTCCTTATGTCTATGTAAATGTACATCAGGGAGGCTTGTTTGATTCAATTGTGACATGTTTTATATATTTTTTTCGGAAGGACAACGCGGGACTGAAGTTGAGATTGTCGGCACTGGTTTCAGTATTGACTGTAATGACATGAGGGTGCTCATTGGTCTTACGGGGGATACTGACGAAGGCGTGGTCTGTGAACCAACTGCCTGCACCAGCAGGTCTATACGATGCACAGGTAATGAACATTTATGTCTGAAATACTACCAGTACAGTGGTACTTTTACCTTTCACGTATATAACTGTGTGTGTTGTCCCTTGCTATTAGCCAATGAGGCTAATAGCAAGGGACAACACACACAGTTATAATGACGTGAAAGGTAAAAGTATGCTGAAAGAACATTTTTTCATCAAATATTTCTTTTACATGGTGTAATGCAGCTAATTGAAAGGGTGTATAGAGTGTTCTGATTAAGGCGTAACCAGTACGTCACAATACCTGATGGGGACAACGTCAGGCCTGAGATAAGAAAGTGTAATAAGTTGTAATTTTGATATAAGCATGACTTGGGCCACGTCACCAGAGTTCCACAAAAACGATACTTTGATTGGGTACAATTCGTTCGTCCCTGACATTTTTGTCCTCATGTAGAATTGCAAACGGTGACCATGTCACTGTTAGTGGGGTCGTGTGGCGCAACGGAAGCGTGCGCGACTCGGAATCAAGAGGTCCCGGGATCGAGTCCTAGATCCTGACATGCCACCGATCTTGTGCCCTTGGGAAAGGCACTTTACACGACTTTCCCCACTAGACTCAAGTGAAAAGGAGTATTGTCTGTCCTGTATCTGTTTCTATGTGCGGGACACAACACCAGCAACAGCTGCCACTGTTCCGCGTGTAATGCACTGTTGCAATTTCAATAAATCAAATCAGAAAATCAGATATCACTGTTAACATTGCAGTTGGGGATTCTGGACGAGGACAGCATGCCGTGAAGGTGTACGTGTTGCCGCACGGAAACGATCCAGACGCCAACCCGAACGGCAGAGCCACTGGAGACGTGTTCTTCACATACATGGGAGCCGTTGCCGGGATCAGCCCAACAGCCTCTGGAGTAGGAGGTATCTAAACGTTACGAAAGCTGTCGCTAAATACTGGGTGATTCATTTTACAAAACGTTCTTATTTCCATTCATCATCAACATCGTAACTATTTTGTTATTATTTCAATTGCAGTTTTAACGATTTCAACACATTTTGCATTGTAACTCAATTTTCTCTTTTATGATAAACACATTTTGCATTGTAACTCAATTTTCTCTTTTATGATAAACACATTTTGCATTGTAACTCGATGTTCTCTTTATTATAAACATTAGAGCTTATGGCCATAAGAATATATGCAGGCGCATAGACCTCATCCCTGTAAAACGTCATTATTACAGGGGGTGTTGAATTGAATATCACGGGATTTGGTTTTGCTGATGATGACGTCCCCAGAGTTGGTGGAAAAGATTGTGACGTCATCTCCCATAGCAACGAACACATCCTCTGCCTTGTAGCTCCTGGAGTGAGTAATTATAATCTACGTTAGACATGATCTTCAACAGTGACTAAGGACTGAGCCAAATGTTATAGTTTATCTCTTCTGTGTTAATATCAATATAATACATAAGTATAAAATGTATTTAGCTCTAAAGTGTTAGGTGTCAAAGAAACCATGCACAGTCTTCCTTTTCTACGGATGGACAGTCCAGTAGTGTGGCGTTGGCATTAATGCCAGATTCTTTAATAATGCCAGATTCTTTAATAATGCCAGATTCTTTAATAATGCCAGATTCTTTAATAATGCCAGATTCTTTAATAATGCCAGATTCTTTGATAATGCCAGATTCTTTAATAATGCCAGATTCTTTAATAATGCCAGATTCTTTAAGAGTTAAACTGTTTTCATTTTTTAAGTCTCCTGGGACCGTAGATGTCACCATCAATGGCGACGGAGGTGCCGTCATGCAAGCTGCAGATAGCTTCACGTACAACGTCAGTCTAACCCCTATCATCACAGCTTACTCCCCTAACCAAATTATCGTTAAAGGTGAGTACAGTACTAGGCTATTTATGTTATATAATTATAGTTATGCAATAGATGGGCCGCGATAACTATAAAATACTACAGGATGTATTCAACATCACCCGACCGGGGATAGGATCGCCGCGTCACTTAGTCGGAGCGATCACATTTTACATTGAAATGTGTGTTTTGTCAGGTGGGAACCTCAGGTGATACTCCTATTCTATAGGTGCCTATCTTTGTTTCGTATCCTAGATACTGGCCTATTCACGAGGACAAGAGTGACGTTATTTTTTATGACACATGTATGTTTGAAGAAATATTATCTTTATCCATTGGTTCACTGGCAGGTGGAGATACTTTGACAATCGAGGGTTCAGGGTTTGGACATTCGACATCTCTTTTCTTCAGAGGTTCTGAAGAGATCTTGGAGGTTGCAGCGAGTGAGTATCCTTTGTTAACGGATTTACGTCCACATGTTTGTACAAACTTCGGAAACATCAAGAATTTGTTAGTCTCTACCAGGGGAGTTGGTCCAACCCCCCTGGTATGTCATCTGTCTATTTTGCCAATTTCTACTCTTTCCTGGTAGAGGCTAAGAGGTGACAATGAGAATAATGATAAAGACATGTTTTCACATACATTTACAGCTGTAAACGGCTCTAAGGTTACATGTTCCCTGCCTGCCCTGGGACCAGGAAAGTACGACATTTTGCTGCACGTCGATGGGGCTGGATATGGCGTAATGGACGGGTAAGTTGTTACGCATTGTTGCTCGCACGCGCATGTTTACAAATATTTGTATGAACTGAAGTACCGGCTCAATCGGGAAGCGTGTTCGCTTTGTGACCGAGAGATCGTGACCCCGGCCTGGTTATACCAAAGACTTATGGGAAGATTGTGGGAAGGTCAAACACACAACACTGCCAGCCCAGCGAGCTAGCCCCCTGGCAGGGACTGTAGTGTTTGCACAATTGTATGGCCCAAGGGCCACAGAAATTGTGATGGGCACCACCCCTTATGCTCCACAGGGAGTGGAACGGGACCTGTGCACCAATCATCATCATCTTTCATCCTCCGTAGAGGTGGAGCATACAAAGTTAGCTCGCCAAAACTGTTTGTCATACATCACAGAGATAAGTTCCTGTCCCTCCAAGCCAGTTTCAGTTTCAATAAGTTTCTTAAGTGTTATGTTTGGACGTCCAACTCTTCTCTTTGTATCAGGGTTCCAGAGTAGAAGTCTACTGGCTGGTTCTTCACTACGTACTACATGACCGGCCAAGCTTAGTCGTCGACATTTGACCACTGAAGTTACATTTGGTAACGAACCTTATAAGTGTTCATTAGTAGTATGTTTCCACCATGGTGTATTGAAAACTACTCGCAGCATCTTCGTGTATGTTCCGTTTAGTTTTCTAGAATGTGACATATTCATAATCCACGATTCTGACCCATACAAAAGAATTGTTTCAATACATGCCTTAAACACTTTGATCTTAGTTTGTTTTCTAATGGGCGCTTTCCACCAAAGGGTCTATCAACATGTCATTATTTTCCAGATCCGCGTTATTCCCGACCATTGAGTACGTCCTGTGCGTGACGGGAATGTACCCATCTCGAGGCTCCCTGTCCGGTGGGACAGTTGTGGGCATTTCTGGAGTGGGTTTCAGTTCAAATGTCGAGGAACATGCCGTTATGTTCGGTGATACAGTTTGCGAGGTATGATACTGCATTCCTCATATTGTACAATTATAATGAACCGTCACAAACTAGTATAACTTATAAGGATGTTTTTGACGCACTTTTGAATGCGACGCAAATCTGTTTAATGTTTAATTTTAACTATTTTACCCGCTGAAAGATAATATATATGAATCATTAACTAATAAGTGACTAAAATGATCTTAAAACAATATATTGATATGAATTTTGGTTATTTGGATATTTGGTCTGGTTGGTGTTCGGCAATATTTCCATTGGACTGTCTCTGCACTACGTTCATCTGAACCGTCCATCCAGGTCTTCTCCAGCTCCTCTACGGAGGTTTGGTGCAGGATGAGGACCGCTGGTAGACGGCATGTCGTGGACAACAAGGGAGCGCATCCAAGTAAGCAGAATATTAGCTGTGTTTGAATGCACCCAATGCAGTTTTTAGGGCTTGAAAATCAAAGTCAATATCCTAGTCACCTATCTACAAACTGACACAACGCTATCCAAGTTGACACAATACTATCCAAATGTACCAAATGTATTCATGGAGCAAAAATGCGCCAAATTGTGTCGACAAATGGTTACTGGAATGATCTTGGGCTGATTTGGAGGGTACCACCCAGAAAATAACGGACTCATCTTGGGACTTGTTTCAGCTCCTCAAGTTTGAAATAACAATTCAAATATGCTAATGTCGTGCAGTATGTGTCTATATCATAGATTTTGCCTTATTCAAAATATATCCAGTTTTGCGCCTAAAATTGCATTCAAGTAGAAGAATGAATAGCTTCCAACGTAAAAACTCGTCATATTACACATCATCAGTGCTATTTTACCGTATATATGTATAACCGTTTGCCCTTTCTTAGACCTTGGCATAGGCTACGCCTGGAGCCAAAGTACCCTGACCATCGAGGAAGGAGACACGGTGGATTGGACCTGGTCACCCCCTACACAAGGTGTTGGATTTGCCGTCAGACAGACTACCGGGACAGATGGTGAACTGCTGCCAAACGGCTTCTCTAGTGGACCAAAGTCTAGCCAAGGTAAGAGTCAAATACCAATTGTCGGTGTCGTAAACAAATGGGCCTTCATATAATGTCAAAATATAATCATTAACAGAGACCTCATACCCCATGCATGTTTATATTTATTGGTTTATTTGTATCAACATATCAACAACATATCTCGCAGCCTTGACATACCTGACTGAATTCTGATGTTTGTTTACATACAAATTTAGGTATTTACAATCTTACAATTGTACACCCTATAACAATCTTACGTCGTACAAACCTTATATCACTTAAGTTTTAACATATGTAGAAGATTAGTCATAATAAATAAATAGTGTTTTCGTAAATCTTATGCATAGACATAGTGATGACCACCTGTAAATGGCTTACATTTACAATCCAGATCATTAGAAATTTTTTTATGCATATTATTCACATGGCCCCTGCCTAGCAACATGCAACACACTGGTGTTTGGTATGGACATGATATTGTTGGTTATATGCAAGTGCGAACTCTGACAAACCTTTACCAAATCATGTTAACCGTCCAAAGTCCAAATCATACACTTTTACTGCGATTATGCAAATTATAAGAGCCCCATATGCATATATTATATCAGCTGATCATGTTCTCCACCCAATGACAGGATTGTCATGAGAAATAAGGCTATTCTAGCTTTCCCTCATAAATTATGCAAATGAGGTGCTGTTCACCTTCACTGAACTTCCAATTATGGCAAGTATTAAATTCACAGCAGTTCCCACTATGAAATTGTAGCAATTTCACATTGATTATGCAAATTCGGTCTTCATTTACATAATCAACATCTGCTAACATCTCCTATTGTTCTCAATTTCATATGTCACATACATGTATGTGTTTCATAGCCCTAATATCGAACACGACAGATTTATAGAAATTCCTCATTTATAATGCAGATTATATCCTGATCTGCATAATTGTAATTTAAATATGCCAAGCATCAATTTAGCTACTTACATACCAAAAATCACGACGATCCGGCCGGGTCATTCGAAAGACTTTAAATTTTGGAATTTGCGCTGCAGTACTAAGAGAAGCCACTAGCTAGGGGGGCAAAAATCTCATCATTTCTAGTTTTCGTCACAACCTACCAACGTACCAAGTATGAAACCAATCCACCCAGTCGTTCTTGAGTTACCTTGTTGACGAACAGACAGAAGGACAAACGCAACTGAAAATATGACCAACTGAAAATAGAAAGTCATTAATTCGGCAACAATAAAAGAAGAAGCTCATTACTCGTTTTTTTTGCAGGCTCCTACTCCTACACATTTAATACCGTGGGCGATTTTTACTACTCAAGTGGCTGCGTTGATGACAACTGCGATATCGTCATGCGTGGGAAAGTGGAAGTCGTCAAACCCGTTGACCACACAGAGATCTTGTCATTCAAGCTCAATGGCATGGAAGCAGTCTACGATCCTACCGGAACCGAACCTGGTGAGTGTGCTGATACAACTCAATTAGTCACAGTGTGTTTGCAATATTACTTTGTTTCGCTTCATAACGTTTCATATTCAATGCCATATACAGATAAATCGTAGGCATACAATTTGTGTACTTTGTAGCTTTGGTTATTCTACAAAATGTTTTACGGTGCATTTTGGACCGTCTTCCTTGTGTTTTCTTCTTTTCTGACATTTTCCTCATATTTCCAGCATTGGAAGAGACATGCCCAGGTTCAACAAGTGAAGTTCTGGGCTGCTCCGAAGATCAGTCAATTGCATCTTCCAGCTCTCAGTTTAGCTACGTTTTCCGTGACTGTCTGACGGCGACTGTCACCTCAATCAGCCCCACCCGCGGAACTGCCGGGCAGACCGTCACCATTCAGGGTACGGGCTTCGGTACAAGTACATGCGAGAATGAGGTTCTGATTGGTGGATACTCCTGTGACGTGACATCATCAACATCCAACAACATCACGTGCGTGGTTAACCCTGGTAGCAACATGCCGGTGGGAACCTTTCTCCCCGTGTCTGTAAACATCAAGAATCGCGGATACGCCAGGATGGCCATTCTTGGAGGGGAAGAGTCTCGCATGTTCGCTCTCATGCCGAAGATAACGTCTATATTCCCGGAACAAGGCTCTGTTGAAGGAGGAACCCAACTGACTATCAGCGGATCAGGATTCACGTCTCCGGCTGACAGCACCACCAGCGCAGTCGGAACAGTCCCCTGCTACATTCAGTCTCTGTCTTATAATCAAATTATTTGCGTAACCCAAGCGGCATCGGAGAGAACCAGGGAAGTCACAGTTAGTCAGGTAGTGAACGGATATCGCATTGACAGTGTTTGTGACGGACGAGACAACAGCGGATGCCAATATGCCTACAGGGTAAGAGTCCGAGTCACATTTGAGGATGATTCCATAAACAAAACATCTAGAGGAAACGATAGCATGAATCTGCAGTTGGAATTAACACAGCAAATGAAAGTTGATTGTAAATATTGAGAATATATAAATTTGTTATGAAAACGTCGTATCATCTAATGTATCAAATGAAACATATGATAGAGAGAGTGTATAGGTAAACAGTTTCTCATTTGATTATCATTCTAGCAATAATCAACCTTCCTATTGGTTCACAGAACTCGCAAACCCCAAAGGTCTCAGCTATTGACCCAAGGACAAGTGGATCTCCTGCCGTTTTCACAGTCGGTGGAAGTTTGTTTGGAACTTCTGTAGACGACATAACGGTCAGCTTCGGAGAAAGGACTTCCTGTGTGGTTACGTCAGTTACTGATGACGTCATTTCCTGCACGGCTGGACACATACCTGTGGGAGACCAGCCTGTCAGGGTGCATGTAGCGGGACGAGGAAACGCCGCATCAAGCGCGGTAGTGACCGGCCTGGCTGTCATCAACACCATGTCACCAACTCAGGGGAGTCAAGCCGGGGGCACGACCTTGACAATCACAGGCAACGGTTTTGACAGTGACACCGAGGTTACCATGAACGAAAAGATCTGCGAAGTCTTGTTCGTTAATCTTACCACTGTCACCTGCATCACTCCCGCAGGTAAACTATCTTTATAATAATAATAACTTTATTGCGCAACAGTTGTACATGGTATATTGAAGTTTGTCCCACCAACATTGTTTTTATCAGTCTTATTCCTATTTACGACGTCTCCACATACAATGTTGCTTACTTATTGTCAATCAATTTTCTTTTCAGCGACCAATGAAAGTGACCCCCTAGTTCAAGTATCAGTGGTCTCGAATGGCCAAGCCTATCCCCCACAAGACTTCACGTACAGCTCAACTCTAACTCCAAGTGTGAGTGGTATCAGCCCAGCTGTAGCCACCAGTGGGACGGCAGTAACGATCACGGGGTCTGGGTTTGGCCAAACCACAGCAGACAATGAAGTGTCCATCGATGGCGCTCCTTGTGTGGTTGACACATCATCAGACACAGAAATCATCTGTACTCTGGGAGAACACGTTGCCGGAAGTGACTACACCGTGGACGTGACGGTCGTCGAGAAGGGAACGGCGAGGTCCGCAGTCACATTCAGCTACGAGCTGTCACTGTCTGCAGTGATGCCAACAACAGGTGGGAACCTTGGTCAAATACTGAAGATGACTTTTACTTTGTCATGGAATGTTCTAGATTTCATACAGATTATACAGTTTTAAGGAGACTCGATGTTACAGACAGATTAAAATATATCTCTAGATGCAGTAACTCCCACAATGCAAAATCAACTACTAGGTAAATATGTAAAACATTGCTTTGTTATTTGAAAAATGCCACAACAAATGCCATGATAATCCTCACGTGATTGTATATTATATTCTTCCTTTCTTTCATTCTTTCTTTCTTTCTTTCTTTCTTTCTTTCTGTCTTTCTGTCTTTCTGTCTGTCTTTCTTTCTTTCTCATAAAACGCTATATAATATGCTTTACACTTGAACAGCTTATCTTAAATTATCCAGGATTTTTTTACTTTTTTATTTTTCTTTCTTTCTTTCTTTCTTTCTTTCTTTCTTTCTTTCTTTCTTTCTTTCTTTCTTTCTTTCTTTCTTATAAAACGCTATAAAATATGCTTTACACTTGAACAGCTTATCTTAAATTATCCATGATCAAGTCCTCGTTAACACTAAGTAACTACAAGTATATTGAATCACATTTCTTCGGTAGGAAGTTTTGGAGGTGGCCGAAATCTGACGCTAATGGGAACTGGTTTTTCTGAAAACGCAACCGTCGCCGTGTGTGGTCGTCCATGTCCCATCAACAGTGTTGCTCCCAACTGGATATTCTGTGAGCTACCAGCATATGATGGTCAGTATTTATGTTTACCGAAGGAAAACATATTGTTTTTATTCAGTTTCTTCTTCCTCCTCTGTTCCAAACACTAACCTCTGACCTGGCCAGTGACATGATTTGTTGACATCTGTCACCATGGTGACTGACGTTGGGTTAAATAATGTTGCAATTTCATGGTCTGCTCTACTCCTCTCACCATATACTCCTAGTACATGTATGTGAATGTGTTTGAGTAAAAATTTAACAGGGCAGACCATGTCCGAAGGTAAACATTATGTATTTGCTTTGCAAATGTTACTTCTCTAGTTATTTGTTTCATCTGTGTAGTACACATGTAACCTTGGCATCGCCTCTGCAATTCTTATTCAGTAAAATATCCCGTTGGCTTTGTCCTGACAGGCTTAGCCAGTGGCACAGTGGTTTGTGATGTTGCCATCGTCGTCGGTAAAGAGACAAGAACTCTGAGCGACGCGTTCACCTATGACAGCAGCCTGACCCCCGTCATCGACTCCGTGTCGCCTGCCCTGGGAGGGACCGCAGGAGGAACCACTGTCACCATCACAGGGACTAATCTTCGGTATGACTTTTCAGGTTATTCAGTTTTTTTTCATTGTCATTTCTAAAAAAAACCTTGGAATTCTAAAAATAACCTTGACATTGCCAACAGTGAAAATAGCGATCACTTTATGACCTTTATTTCATTATTACCATGCGCCAGTCTCACACTGAATTATACTGAAAATTACTGAATATTACCCGATTAGGTCACACTGACTAAATTTTATGGATAACCTCCTCTGAAGATCCCAAAACTAATGCGAGAGGGTGAATAGAAAAATCCGGCACCCAAAATACTGCTAACCACAGGTATACAAAGCTGTTATTGAAAATTTACGGTATTAGATCATTTTTATGATAAGCCGGCCCTCGGTAGCCTGGGTGCCGTTCTCCGCAATTACATGTACCACCGACTTCCTATTGCCTCTAGCTACAATGGACTACGGAGGATGGAATCCAGGCCAGAGCCTTGGAGTTGGTGCATGGTTCTTTTTTTCTTGAACAGGCGAAAATCAATGCGCGCGCGAACGTCACCCATACAATTAAAGCAGTGTGACCTAATGTTTTTTTAAATGAAAATGCCCATGTACCCGAAAAAGCACAACAAGACATGTTGCTTGTATCTCTAATCATTATGATGTTTGAAGGTAACTGTAACATTATGAGTTTCTCAATCGTGGTCTGTTAACTCGTTCGGCGATCAAAGTGGCATCAGAAGCGTAACGATTGCGGGAAGTGACTGCATCATCTCTGGAGTACCGTCGGAGACAGAGGTCGTCTGTGTGACTGAAGCCCACAGCGGCAGCGTGAGGGCCAAACTTAGGGCAGAGGGAATAGCTGGAATTGCGACACAGGTAAAGTACTTTCAGGTTGATAACATTGGTATTCACATTGTCCTGTTCCTTTGTTTCCGACTGCTTCGGTCCCAAATCACATCATACTAACAACAGTCGTACACTCTGACTGCTACATTCTCAGCATATTCTGGAACCACCTTGTTGAACTAGGTTTTTGAAAAGTAGTTGTTTTTAAGGTTAGAGGCATAGTATTTCGTGTTCCTTGCCATTATAACACATACTAAATCATGAACACACTTAAGTCTTATCTTGAAAGTTCATCTGTGTTAGTAGAAGTCATTATGAACAAGATTGAGCTGTGACACTTACGTCTACATAATGCGCAGCTTGGCTATGTGCTGAGTAACACTAAATTGCAGAAAACATATAAGTGTATTGGCTTACGTCTATTCTAGTTTGTTTGTTTAAGTCATAAGTACGACTATATCTACCAAGACAACAGCTCAATCTTCAAAATACATTGATGTCACCAAATATTAAATACGTACATGTATTGTAATTTTCTACTCATATGTTAAAGACACTCTCAACTACCACGGCTTTGGACATATATGGATGAAACCTGAAGCTTATAAAACAGATTATATTACACACCATCTTCGCCATTGGCTACAAGATACACGTATACAGGAATGGTTTAGTTGCTTTAGAAGTAATTCTAAGCTGTCTTTTCTTAGCAAATTTAAAAGAAAGCACTGTTATGAACAAGAAACATACCTTTGTGATATAGATAACTTTGAAAGCTCGTAAAGCAATAACTCAATTAAGAATCAGTCGCCATAAATTGAATATTGAAACAGGTAGATATTACAATATAGCCCCTGACCAAGGTTCTGTCCATTTTGTCCAAAGCATATAGAAAATGAATTTCATTTTGTTATGGAATGTACCTAATATGATGTTATACGTAACAAGCTATTCACATTTCTCGAATCAAGTACCATAGATTTCAAGACTCTCGATGTTGGAGACAGATTTGAATTTACATGTAATGGTCTCCACAACGCAAAAATAGGTAGATATATAAAGGAATGCTTTGTTATTAGAAAAAATACCGAAACTTGTGATTAGCCCACTCGATTGTAACACTTTATCAAAGACTTGTGCTATCCCTTATTATTTGAATAATTATGATATATATATATATGTTAGGTTTTATTAGACATTAGGTCTTATTCAACACACTTATTTTATTGTTGTTACTCTCTCTATGTAGTTTGCCATACATTGCACCATGTGCAATTGTCGTGCAATAAAGTTCTTCTATGTATGGTACAGGGCAACGCAGACTTCTACTACGTGGATAGATGGTCCTCTGTGTACACCTGGGGCGGGGAAGGCTTACCCGAGGAGGGGGACTTTGTTATTGTGCATGCGGGACAGACGTTACTGCTGGATACTGACACACCGATACTCAGAATGCTGCTTATCCAAGGTAGGGACTGTTTGATGTATACATGTATATGATGTACATGTATATGATGTACATTGATTTAGAAATAAACATAAATGTAAAACCAAATATTCAATAAGGTAACTTGAGTTCATAGCACGATCCCATAAATTCGTTTTTATATATTCACATAGTAAGATATGTATAAAACAAGACGTCCTACTGTGCCATATAAAGCTGCCAGGAGACCAGAATCCACTAATTTTGCCAGCACCTACCAACATACCAAATATCAGTAAGATCCACCCACGACTTCACATACTGACAGACACAAAACATAACCTTTTTTGTGAAGGTAAAAAAATAAGCCCAATCATATTGATTAAGATTTTGACTCTCCGAATGTAAAAAAAACAACTAGAAACTTGACTAAGTAAGTGCGCCCACAACTCAATAACATGACAACTTGACCATGCAGGTGGAACACTGTTGTTCGATGACGCGGGAAATGTGCATCTTCAGTCTGAGTACATCCTCATCACTGATGGAGGGACTCTTCAAGTCGGTACAGAGGAGGCTCCATTCCAACACCAGGCTACCATCACTCTGCACGGAAACCTTCGCTCCAAGGAGCTGCCGATCTATGGCGCTAAAGTTCTGGGAGTTAGGAACGGAACGTTAGACCTACATGGTAACGTATGCAAGTTTTCAAGTTTCCCAAATAAAGCCACACATTCATGACCTTCCCCGAAAGTGTTCCAAAACCAGGTCCGTTTGACGTTCGGGCCCGCTCTGACCTCTGACCTCAAAACGAATTTGAGTTAAATTTGGATCATGAACACGCCTCGAATACTGCTGACTTACTCACGAATGGCAGGCTAGCGTTCTGCTGACGTACAGCCGAACAACAGCCAACCATGATCGGACATCCCAACCGAATCACAAATGTTTTAATCATGTTGAAGCACAGCCGAATAGCCATGTAGCAGCCAAATTCGTCCAACACCTGTCCATGCAGTCGACTTTGCTCCGACCATGATTTGCGATGTAGGTGTTCGGGAGGCGCAATTCGTGAATACGTGAACGTTTTCCTATGGTCAGTTTTCCTGAAGATGGCCGAAGAATTTGTTGAAAGTTTTGTGACGAATGTCAACTGTGTTTTATAAGGAAAGTTGAAAGTTTGACAATGTTTTTCCTTTCATTTAGGCTCTCCTGTCCCCGTAACGTGGACGCGGCTAGCCCAGACAGCAGCTCCAGGGGCGACAACGCTCGTTCTGGAGCAGCCGGTCACGTGGAAGGCAGGGGACAGCATCGCCATAGCAACGACTGGGTACCGACATAGCCAGGCCGAGACGGAAGTGAGACAAATAGCGTCAGTAGCTGCAGATGGTGTCACCATCACCATTACAGGTTGGGTAGTTTTCGACATAAATATCCTTCCTGTGTTTTTTCGTAAACTGTCGTTGAGAGATAAATTATTCTGATCTAGGCGGTGGTTAAATACAACGATCACCTGTTCTATCTTCTCCAAAATGTCTAGAACCTTTGGACTACGAGCATATCTCTGTAGAGGAGACATTCGCAAATGGAAAAGTGACGCTGGAGACCAAAGGAGAAGTCGCTCTTCTCACCAGAAACGTCGTCATCAGGGGTTCTGATGATCCTTCTTGGCACGACCAAATTGAGGCCTGTGAGGAAGGTTTCGACACGGGTATGTCCTTCTTTCTCTTTTGTGTGTTTTGGGTGAGTTAAAATCTTTCAAAAGGGATAAGTCAAATTTCTTAGACAGACATGTAGTGGTGGTTGCTGATTTACACAGCCTCCTTCACTCCTCCTCTTCGAAAACCAACGACCGAGGTCCGCCGATTCAGAAGCGTCCCTACATATACACATAGAATCTCCGGGACGCTCCGTCTCGTTGGACAAAGTTAAAATCTGCATTCAGAACTGGATTTTATAGTGGAGGGGGCTGTGTACATTCGGGCCAACCGGCCAACGCTGAACAGAGACGGGGGGCGACATAGGTTATCTGGCATGCATGACCTTCTGCTGCAATTACGTGTTTCCGACGTCATGTCTCGGAAGCAGCAGTAGACGAGTCCATTCCGTGAACATGGCTGACGGAGTTAGCTGAAAATTTGGGTAAGTCCCAATTTATTTAGTGCTGGATCACAAAGTTTAGACTGTTTGTCATCAGTACCATATATCTATTTATTTACTTGTCTATTTATTTGTTGATACATTAATTCATTTACAAGGATTCTTCAGAAATGCCCAAATGTAGTAGAGGACTAAACCATCTTGTATTAATAGTCTAGTAATTTCAATCAACCAGAGAAAATTGATTTTGCTAATTGCAACCCTGATTTCACAATCAATGAGACAATTCTCTTAGGCGACAAAATTCACAAAAGTAGAGGTCTCCGATCACTTGCCAATATATTTTACGGACGACTACAAATTTGTCCGTATGTATTACTGTACTTGAAGAACATTTAATTTTTACATTAAACAGTTTGAATTCATTTTCTATTACCGTTCGCTACAGGGGAATTTGTTACGCAGACTTGCTTCCAGGGTCGATTCGGAGAAGAGGTCGGCAGTGACCAGTTCGGAGGCCATGTTCTGATCCACCAATCAGAACCAAATGCAGAAAGTGTCAGAGCCCGGATTGAATATGTAGAGGTAAGACTTGATGATGATGGTTATGAGACTTTGTTACCTCCGGGGGAGGAGACATCCTTCCGCGGAAGGGTTTTGTGAGAGATTTAGATTTTCATGTTCTCAGCTGTTTCTCGCGTTTGGGTGGACGGATTTTTTTGGGACTCGGTGTATGTTTTGCTATTGGGCTGTAAATGATGCATGTTCTTTTATTTTTATTGTATATGTGTTTTCGGGTGTGAAAATGGTGCCTTTGGTGGCCACAGCCCCAGAACACCCCTTTGAGCGTGAAAATAGTCGCGACCGTTGACCTTTGGCGTGTTTAAGATATTCTCGGTCTGGTCCACGTATATGACCCTCGCAAAGAGGGGTGTCCGGTCTCGATAAATTCTTTGTTTAAACCCCTAGTCCTGCGGCGCGCAACAATTGTTGTTGTGCACATGCATCTTCTCTAACACATAAAATTCAACACCATCAACTATACATAACAAATTACATATAAAAATATACAATAAAAGCCCTGAGGTATAAAATCTAAGATTTTACTAGTTTAAAGTTTTAAATAGTTTTCCGCATAATACATCAGGCAGAGTGCTACTCAACATATTATACGAGCACATTACGTGCGTTGTGTAAGTATGGATGTGGTTTTAAAACTAGGAAGAACTTTGGCAGTTAAACAAGACGCTGCTTACGGTTTCTACCATATGTGCCATCCCTTGTTGCCTTGTGAATGCTGTATCTTGTGGATGCGTACTAACTTCACATACTACCTTTCTCGCTTCAGTTCACGTATGTTGGACAAGCCTTCCGCCTGGGACGCTACCCCATCCACTCTCATCTAAACGGCGACATGAGCAACTCCTATGTGCGTGGTAACGCCATCCATCGCAGCTTCAACAGGGCCGTGACCATGCACGGTACACACAACCTGCTGGTGGAACGTAATGTGGTCTTCAATATCATGGGAGGAGCTTTCTTCATTGAGGATGGTATTGAAACGGGAAACATCATTCAGGTAAAGCATCCAGCTTGTGTATACTTTACATTACCATGCCTTCAAACAAACAACAATAACAATCCTTTTACAATTCTGAAACAATCCCATACCTCCGCCAAATGATATTAACAATTGATAATAACGCACTATAAAGGTCCCTTCTTTGATTATACAAAAAAAAAGGTCTTATTCTCCAGTCTCATCAATTTGTTGAAATGAAGTTGTTCACAGTTTGAAATTCCTAAGGGCCCTGCCACACTTTTGCGAATAGCCATTGCGTATGCGTTGCGTACAGACATTTCTGCCGTACGCACAATACGCGCGGATACTGTGACGCACATGTAGCGTATGAATAACGAATTCAGCGCATAGATTGCATATGACATCCGTATGGCGTTCGTATGCATTACGAAGGCCAAGCGTATTCCGGGCGCACACAACGTATGCCCACCGGATGCCTAACGCACTTCCGACGAATGCCATGCGTCTTGTGTGCGTATTCCCTGCTTCTTCCCGCTGTTTCATTCTGAGTCCTTCTCATCATGGGCCGCCCTCAACTCAGATAAAATGTGTTTGTTTCCATTTTGCGCTAGCCCTGGTCAATTTCCTGTAATATTTTGTCTGGTAAATTAAATACACGTACCCGGACTTTATACAAACATAACAGTTTGACTGTTGATAGCCTTGATGAATTGGAGATGTCAAGAAATACCCTCCCTTAATGATTTGAAAACAATGATAACAACCATACTTGCAATACAGTTTACAATTGCGCATACACACAGATAGCATGGACACTACACATCTCTGCGAACACTACTGTAACAATACAACCTTTGTATATCTACAAACACGACATTACAACCACAGTTCAAAGCGGTTACTGTTATAAGTCCATCATATTCAGATGTTTCATGCTTTTATGCTTCTAAATTTTATAAAAGATTTTGTACCAATCTACGTACACTACACATTTTCTCGGATAAAAAAATAGGCAACTGGCGTATTATCCCCAAGTACAAGGAACAAAAAGCAAATATTTTATGTTAAATATAGATGCATTGATAATATGCAAAATGGCCAGTCCTATCATCATTTTTTATTTTTCAGCCTAATAAATCAAGTCAAATCATCATTTTGGGTGAGGCGGTACAATGGTGTTCTTTTGTGTTAAAAAGTGTCAAAATGCATTTTTGTAAAACATATTGCACTCTAGGAAAGACGTTTTCCTAATAATCATCTACTTTTCAGCAAAACATATAAAAGCCAATCTCCACATATAATCAACTCATTCATTTTGATTTGATTATAGGCCATGTTGATTTGATTATATGGATGACATCCTCTGGGAACCCCAAAACTGATGCGCGCGTGCGAATAAAAAAGAAGTTTTGCAAAAAAAAAGATCTGTACGCAATCTTTGCGCTTCTCATTAGTTACAAATACGTACAATGCGCTGTCCTGTTGCAATACGAACGGCACTAAAGCGCTGTAAGTACGCAATGCATTTGTCCATTGTACGCAGCTTATGCACAGGTGCAGTTCCAGGTGCAGATCAGCGTATGAGCCGCGTGTCCCCCACAAACACATAGCATACTCATACCGTGCTTGACCGATGCATTGCGTATTAAAAACGCATGACATGCGTAACGGTGTACGCAGCATAGTTTTGGGCATGCTCAAAACTACGCTGCGTACAGAGCCGGGCGGTGCGTGTGCTGTGCGTATGCCTGCGTTCACAAAACTTACACAAAACTACTGAGACGCATATGAAGTGCTCAGTTTGCGTACGGCTGCGTATCAAAAAATTGCCCGTACGCAACTCATACGCAAGACGATTCACAGAAGTGTGACAGGGCCCTAACAACGAAAGTTGATGTGGCATTCTCATTTGTTATGCAAATGAGCTTCGAGATTTATGTCGAATGATATTTACATTACCTTTAATAAACGCCACATGTATAAATAAAGTTCCTATAATTTGCCACTATGATATAATATTTTCGCCTGTGATTCTGCAAATGAGGTCCTCCTCTGCATAATCGATATTTGAATGTTACATATGTCACTTGTTTGAAGGTCCTGTCATAAAGCACAGTTACTTTATGGAATTTCCTAATTACAAGCTTATCAATTAATCATGCAAATTTGCTTAATTAGCATGCGATTATGTCAATCATCATATCGACAATCGCCCATCAGCCCCTTCTCCAGTCATGGCCTCCCAAAGTCAGAAACAAAATTGGCTCCTGCAGTTCTGAACGCACCAAACTTGATGACAATTCACCTATAGCACCTTGGTTATAGTGCTAAACCACATACACACATGCATGCAAACGTTATCAAAAACGGCGAAGATAAAAATGTTTATTGAACATTCCAAATGTGCTCTCTGATATGTTGTTGTATAACTATAGTCTTTGTTGTGTTTCAGTATAATCTTGCTTTGTTCGTGAAAGCCAGCACCAGTCTGCTGAACGATGACATCACACCGGCTGGGTACTGGGTTACCAACCCCAATAACACCATTCGGGTAGGAATTATAAAAGCTACATTTTGGACAACGTCACTATTCTTTATTACTTGTACCTTAACTATGGATTTTTCTTGACATGGAAAAAAAGTGGCACGGAAAGCTCTGTTGCTGCTGCTGATTTTTACACGACTGTCATGATTCTATCCTACAATAGCACAACCATGCAGCAGGAGGAACCCACTTCGGTTTCTGGTACCGTATGCACAAGCATCCCGACGGTGCGTCCTACGATCCAGATATTTGTCCGCAGAGAGTTCCACTAGGAGTCTTCCAGAACAACACTGTCCACTCGCAGGGTTGGTTTGGTCTGTGGGTGTTCCAGGAGTACTACCCTGCTGAGGGAGGAAGCTGCGGCTGGGGTGCCAAGCCTCAGCCTGCGGTCTTCAGGGGTCTTACGGCGTGGAGGTGGGAATTTCACTGAGCCTCTTGTGACGTTGACAACTTTTAAGCACCTTCTACACGATACTAAGCAACACCCCTCGCGGGACCCAGTGCTTAGGGGAGTGGTCCTTCCCCAGCGTGACCGGTGGTGGTGGTAAAAAACAAACAAGAACAAAAACAAGTGCAGTGACTATATACAGAAGTCGTAGCTGGGGGTTGGCCACATTCCTACAGCTGGGTACAGGGAAGCCATAATGGCTGGCTACCCCAGCTTTAGAATGCTCAATTGACTTAGCCATTACCAGATGGTCAGGTGGGGCATTCAATAACTGTTCGTGGGAAGAAGCTACCTCGTAGTCACCACCTGCTACAGAATTATGATGTATAATGATGACCCTAGAACAACATATTTCCCAATGATCATAGTCAGGATTCTTGAATCAATGACATGAATCAATAGAATGCAAAGGCTGTCGCTCATGCATGATTTACATATTTTATTATGTCTCTTGTTGAGTGTACATGTACCTCTGTTGACTAGCCATTCATGTACGTATAGGAATGAGAAAGGTGCAGAGTGGGTGAATGTTGGAGCTGTACAGTTCGAGGACTTTGTTCTGGCTAACAATGAGAAGGCTGGGATCGAGATGAAGCGAATCTTACGGCTTTCAGACTGGGGCTTTGCCAAAATCACCAACGTGACACTCATCGGACACAGTCAGATCTCCACCAACAGAGAGTGCAGTACAGGTCAAACCTTTATTAATCATTTCGAAGAAGTTGGATTGTAGAACATACGACTCTCATCTCAAAGTGGTACCTTTTCCGCGCTGAACTATCAACAGTGATATCTTCCGTATCAATACCAATAGCGGTTG